TCAATTCATTGCCTATCTGTTTAAAACTCCAACACTGGTTGAGACAGTGCATGAGGATTCAGGTTCTGATGCATGGGCGTGTATATGAAGGAATGAGTTGGATGCTGATTGATCTATTGCTCATTTAGCAGTGAACAGAGAAGACTTAAGATGAGTGATGGAATGATCACCGATCATTAGTATGGGTATCGGATTAGTCGTTTGTGGACTTCTCAAATTGGGAGCAAAGATGTCTCTAAAGGAAAACAATGCAGCATCCTTGAGGTTGGGAAATTACAATAGTATTAGTCAATATAACCTGTTGCTACTTCATTGATCCCATTATCTCAAAAGATAAGTCATAAGAATGTTGGTTTTATTTTGTCTTTGAAGTTTATGGCTATGTTGAAGATTTCTGTATTGTTTCCTTGAGAATTAACTCATGAAGATCATCCTATGAAATAATTTCCGACATTTAGTTGTCTGAGGTCGTGCTGGAAACTTGAATCATTTCATGTATTTCTGCATATACATTCTTCCACATCCCCTCCATCGCCCTCCTTCTACCCTTCTTTATCATTCTCCTTTCCCTTATATTTTTCTCAAAAACAATAAACTAAACACAAAATGGTTACTAAACAACAGACCGTTAGCTAATCTATAAGTCATAACATGATATGTCAACTTAATTGCGGTTGCCAAATGGACCTTTAACTAATCGATAATCATAACATGATAAATCAACTTAATTATAGTTACCAAACAGATATTTTTAGAAATATTTCAGGGGAAAAAAAAAAGCATGCCCATTTGTATCGATTCCAAGTTTCCAACCACAAAGTTTGAAAACAGATCAAAGCGGATATGTAATTCATTACAAAAAGTGTTGCTAATTAGGATGCTGTATTACTGTCAACTTTTTATGAGTGTTTTTTGCATCTATTACCTTTCTTTTTATCTGTGTTTGTAGTAAACTTTTGTAGATCAAATACTAATAATTATTTAAGTTCAATTACATGTCTGAGTTTTATATGTTCTTGGCTTTTATTACATGTATACCTACCACGAAATGCTTGTGTAAACCTGGGGTTTTGGGTAGTATTTGATCTTACTGATCCGTTTTCGTTCAGTTTGACCTAAATGTTAGTCTTCGCTTATGGACTCGTGATTGGTGAGCATTCTAGAAGTGATGGAAGTATCATCGATTAACTATTGACTGCTGTTAGTTTGTGGATTGTTTAGTCAAACATTGCAAAAAACACGACGGATTCAAATGTCAGTGGTTATATCTTCTTTCTGGGGAGGTGTGAAACCGCGAGTTGTTAGGTTTCATGACTTTGGGTCTGAGTTGCTTGGTTTAACCTTTTGTTCTCATGTTGTGTTTGTTTTGTTGAGGTCTGCTGTTGATCTATATCTACTGGTTGTGTTTCTGGGAGTAGATTGTGTTCTGGGGCCATCTGGCCTTCTGAATTGTAATTTACTCCTCAACACTATACTTCCTAACTTGACAACACGGGTAATTAATATTTTGCAGCTTTCGGCAAGGAGCTGTGTTGTTCGGGAGGATCAGCTGTGGGATGTTTAACTACCCCTAGTGGGAGTCCATGGAACTGCTGCATGATGCTGCCACCACAAGGGAAGCTCGGGGTGGCTGTAGACACTAGTGAAAAAAAAGGCCTGCTTGAGCACTCATATTCTGTAATTGTTATGCTACATGTTTACTTTTTATCCCAATACATTTTCGGCAAGTTCATACGTGCTGCAGCTTATGATTACATTTTGCCACCCAGTGCTAGTTTTTCGTCTACTTACGAATAAATATGTTGCGTCGTAACTTCGTAATGTTTATCTGTTTTGGCTACAGAGCCACGATAATGGCTCTTTATTTGCTTCAATGAAACACAAATTTACAGCAGTCTCAATCTCCTCGGAAGCTAAAAAAAGTTCCAGGAGAAGAATGAAAATTGCAAAAACAACATAATGCAGTCCCGGAAACGAGCAATGACTTCACTTTCAAGGCTCTTTATTCTTCTAAATCTCAAAGAAAATGTAGACCGCCATACGGTCATAACAAGCTATTTAGCAAGATTGGCTTCTGTAATCCCGGGAGAGATGACACGAAGATGTTTTGTAAATCGACGACCGCGGGGTTGGATCCACCGCAAAATCACATTCTTCCTCAAAAATTGTATCCAGCATTTTTGTCAACGGGCGTTTGCTTACCGAAATGAACTGTGGTACAGCAACTTCTGTAACGAGTACCCTTGGTGTTTGGAACTTTACCATTCCTTCCATTGCAATGGAGTTATGGAATTATGACAATTGGAAAGGGAAAATTGGGAAGCTAGAGGAAGATGGAGAGGTTGAGATAGTATATGCTGCAATGAACAATGTTCTGGGGTTTTATAGGGGTTTTAGAGATTGAAATTTGGCTGTTACTTTTGTCTTGATGGCTACATCTAAGGACATTCAGTATCTTTTCCAATCCACCCTTAATATCTAACTAATGAGTCGACGTTCTAATGAAACTAGTTTAGTCTATAAAGAAAGGGATTTGAACTTTAATGCAAGAAAGCTGACAGCTGGTCTAACTCACAACTGTAATAAGAATTGTCGATAACAATATCATTTTTATTTTTTAGCTTTCATTTTTACATTAAGGGTAAAGGGAAAACATTAGATAAAGGAGGGATGGTGGTGAGACGGAGGGAAATGAAGAACATTGCATGAAACAAAAAATTTGAATAATTTAATGTATGTCTCCATATACATTAATTCTTCCACGTCTCCTTCGTTGTCCTCCTTCTACCCTTCTTTATCATTCTCCTTTCTCCTTTATTTCCTCAAAAACAATAAACTAAACACAAAATGGTTACTAAACAGATCGTCTATAAATCATAGGGATACTTTGGATGCGGTCCTTAATCCTTAACATTTTTTTTACTAGAACCTTTAATAGTATTCAAAGTTTTGATCAAAGTCCTTTGACTTTGTACACCTCATTATATTTTACAATTAATATTTATAGTTTTGACATTAATTGTTTGATATTTTATGAGATTTATAATCCTATAAATTTAAAATCCCTCATTATAATACTATTAGAAACGGTTACAATAAAAAAATTCAAACATTTTGATTAAATAAGTGGATAAAAACTATGTAAAAATAAGAAATAATAAATGGCAAAAGAATGTATCCATAGTGTTAAAAAAATTGGTACATTAATAAAGAAGAATGGGTACATTATAAATAAATTATGGTACAAATAAAAGATTAAAAAATTATGAGTACAAATGAATTTTTAAAAAATATAGGCGCTAAAAGAATTAATACGTGGGTACAAAATAAAACTAAAAAGAAAATACTACAAATTAAAAAAAATGTTGCAAATTAAGGTACAAACTAAAAATATAAATATATGATACAAAGTTTAGGCATAAAACATAAATATACCATATGTAATTTTTCTATCATTGATTAAATATACAATGTCACGTGACGGTATACATACGTGTACAAACACAAATAAAACTTTAAAAAATATGGGCACAAAAAGAAACTAATGTATGGGTACAAATTAAAAATGAAAAAAAAATTTGGTACAAATTAAAAATAGGTACAAACTAAAAATAAAAATATATGATAAAAAATTTAGCCATAAATATAAATATAGTAATTGTAACATTTTTAACACTAAAGGAATATATTTAAAAATAAAAATATTTTATTATTCAAATAATTAATGATGTTATTAATACCCAAGGACATTGATCAAAAATTAAAAATGAATAGGATTTTAATCAATGGAATAACAAAAAGAAGGATGTGAACCTAATTTCTCCTAAATCATAACATGATATGTCAACTTAATTATGGTTACCAAATAGACCTTTAGCTAATCAATAATCATAACATGATAAGCTCACTTAATTATAGTTACCAAACAGATATTTGGAAACATTTCAGGAAAGAAAAAAAAGCATATCCTTATATTGATTCCAAGTTTCCAACCGAAAAGTTAGAAAACAGATCAAAGCGGATATCTAAATTGTTACAGAAAGTGGATGAGTACGAAGTGTAGGGTTTGTTTTGAGGAGGGACCAGTTGGGTGCGTGTGGTTGGAACCTGTAGCAGCATCAGCACGGCACCTAGCTGCAGACAAGTGCCAAACTTATGAAATGTAGTTTCCACCAAAAAGTGTGTATTGTAATGTTCTCTTCAAACAACTAGAAGAGTTTGCATGAAATGAATTCATCGCCACGTTATGTTTTTGTCTGATAATGTATTTAATTATGAAACAGAAAATAGAATTGTTAGAATGACAGTAAACCATTCCATGTTGTTCTTTCTCCAAAGAAAATAGAATTGCAGCATCGCATCGCATGTGTGACCGGACTTCTTTTCTTATGGCAGCGGTAGATCATGCATGGATAAAGTAGGTTGAATGCAAACTTTATAATAAGGTTTTAAGGCCCATCGTTTAGCTTACTACACTCCATATGTGAATGTAGAAAAAAATTGTAAAATGATTCATTTTTTAGAGTGCATATGGCTAAAAAATAATTATCGAAATCGTATCTTAACATAAAGAGGTGCATGCAGAAAGAGTGTCCAAAGTCACTTCCTGACCTCCTCTATGATCATGACTTCAAGCTTGTAATAATGTAGTATGTTGGAGGAAACATATACAGGCACAAGCTACCGGTAGGGATGTGGGAATGAGTTGTGTTCGAGTTTAGTCATTTATATTTATGTCGTGTTTATATCAATTCATAGGTTGTTCAACATGCAAAATGATATAAAAATAATAATATGATGATACAATATACTCATATTATGAGTTTGGTAGAATGATAATAGTTAATCGTGTTTTAATAATGCACACATTGGATCTATATTCATACGAATTTTGAGTTGTGTAAGGTATTGTGTCGATTAATGTTTAGACGTTTGAAAATTAAGAAAAGGGCGCATAGACCTGCTGAGGTGCCCGCCCTAGACCGCTTAGGCACCCATCTAGCCCACCCAAACCCGTCTAGACACTTGCCTAGGTTGCAACTCACTTAGATAGAAAATAGATAACTTTCCTTTTGCATTTTATTGTTTCCAATAAATTGTAAGAGACTTATTGAACACTTAAATAAACACACATTATATGTTTGTTCCCCATGTTTTCAATATGTTCCAATACTTCATAATATATATGACATTCTATTTTCTAGTTTATGATGAAATTATGTATATTTTTTAGGTATAAATAGACACTTATTTACATGAAATACAATAAATTTACTTAAATCTGCCTAACCCTCGGCCCGACTAGCGCCTAACGTTTTTTTAGAACCTTGCAAGAAAGTGATTCAGTAACATTCGATTTCTTTAGATCCATGTGCTGTCTTTCAGGTCTCAACCTGTTTTTGGTTTCCTCATATCTAATCTTGCTACAAGTAAATGGCACTGGAGTCTGGACCAGATCGTGTTGTGCCTTTTGTCATGTTTCTTTGTGGTTGATTTGATTTTGTTGTCAAATTCTTGTTAACCTGTTTTGTGTTTCCTCATATCTAGCTCAATGAGCATTCATATATTTTCGACATCCCAACCTACAAGTTTATTTTCTCTTCTTGACTGCGAAATGGAATTAAGCAGTTTGAAAAAGAAAAAAAAAACAAAAAACAAAAAAACATTAAGGAGACTTTTAGGATGGACCATTAGAGTGTGGTGGGAAATTCCAGCCGCATCAGCACGGCACCCGCACAAGACAAGATCCATCACATGTTTTGGTCGACTTGTGATCCTCTCGCAATCCTTTGATCGATGCCTAACGAGCTTATTATAAAATTTTGTATAATGTATGCACGCATGCCTAGGTTTCTGATTTTTTTATTTTGTATTTATATTACCTAGGGGTTTACATATTATATGCTCTCAAGGATATAAACTAATGAAAATTAATGAAAAAAACTTGAAAATTTTGAGTTTTAACGATAAGAACAAAATAAAAGATAAAGTGAATAGTATCAGGATTGATTTTTTAGTGTAAAAATATGGTTTTTCGTTAAAGTGAACAATAACAGAAGTTTTTCGTTAAAGTTCTATAAACTATGTATATTACAAAGATGACAAACATAAATCAAGAAATAGTACAATATTGCAGATAACTTTGTAATTAGATAGTGAGTTTTACAATTTGTTGATGGCAATATTTGGTTCACAATAGTACAACTGTAAAAACCAAAATTATATAAACAAACGGCTAAAATTGTTATGCATCAAATATATACTAGAAATTGTAAAAACTAAAAAGACTTGTTTCATGTTAACATTATTGTTCTCAAAAGTGTAAACACATATTGCGCAAGACAATCTCGGCAGTAGTGGATCAGATGTATGATTTTTACTATGATGGGTCATGGTGTAAAAGTTGCGAAATTTCTTTTAGACAAAAATATTGAGAAATTTAAATTGTAACGAAATTTACCTCTTGAAGATGCATACTTATATATAAGTGAAACAAATAAAATGAAAAAAAAATCAAGATTGGTGCAAAAACATAAATTAGAAAGTTATTAGCACTCAAGTCATATAGTATCTTTCTATTAAACGTTTAGGTGAAAGATCGGTGCAAAATGATTCTTTTAAAGTAATAATAACAGTTTTTAAAACTTAAATAAAAGTTTCGAATATATAACCAGATAACAAATTATGTATTAAGCAAAAAAAAAAGTTTCATAAATTGTATAACACCGTTCAGTAAAAATGAAACAAAAAAAATGTACTAGAATGTGATTTTGATTTATGTACTGTATACATGACAAACCAACCTTTTTTTTTTATTTTTTTTATTTTTTGGGAAACATGACAATCTAACTTTTGTTCCAACATATATAGGCTGGGGAAGATGAGCTTTGTCTGTATCTCAAGCTCCCACCCTTTAGTCTGGAGCGAGCAGATTTCTCTAGTGAGCATTATGGAGTCCAGCCTATCACAGCTAACTAGCGAAATTGTTCATCCAGTTTGTCTGGCATCCACAGGATCACATAATCACATGATCATCCCTTCGTGTTTCCACCGAGTTTCAGTATTGCTCCAATATCTCAGATTGTGGGATGTGCGACTTAGGTAGAGCCACGATGAACACATCAAATTTCGATAGAACGAAAAAAATGCAAAATTTTCCCTCAAAATTTCATATGATTTGGATTGATCAAGTAGGAAATTAAAAAAATTAAAATGAAACCATCCTCCGAAAGTTCCTTGTGTGAAACTCTTTCTTAATTTATATTTTGAATGAAATAGACATGGCATATATTGACCCAAAAAAATGCACACTACATGGTTATATCTCAATATCATGCAATCTACATGGTTATCGTCTTCTATTAAAAAAAGGCTTATCACATTATTCTGATTAATTATCTATGAAAAAAAAAATCTTAATTTGGTACATAGTTTTGAGACAAAGTGGTTTGAGTGTGAATTTGTTGCGACATTGATGTAACAGCGAATAACAGATATACCTATTTGCACGCAAGATATAACGGCGAATAAGAGTATGAAAGATATACTCTATGGGTGCGTTTGTTGCACCGGAATGTCTCGGACTGGACTAGCTTCAGGGATTAAGCTGGACTGGCTTAGACTAAACTAAGCTGGACTAGCTTAGTGAAACGTTTGGTGCAATGTTGGACTAAAAAGCAGGGTAATGAAAACAGTATTATCACCAGTTTCTCTTCGTGACTATACATCGTATATTATAAGTCATAACCTTTGCTGCTGAACAACTTTAAAGTAATTTTCATACAGGTATCTCCAAGATAAATAAAAACAGAGGAATTAGAATTCTCTGCTTCGAATGATTAACTCATGGAATCGTGCCATGCGAGGGAGATTAAACCTGACGTTATGTCATTAACAACTTTCATGTGATTATTAACCCATGAAAAAGGGAAGGCCATATTTGAGATTTTTTTTTACTGCTGTAAATTTTACATACATCAACGGCCAGAATTAGCTGACGCGAAAGCTTGGATGATTGATTGTGGTTGTGGCATCCTTATTTGACCATATGGCTGAAGTTTAAGGTTAATGATGGTGATCGCTTGAAAAGTTAACTCTAGATGATAGTTTATCTGCTAGCTAATTAATAAATCCAAGGTTTATCACAATAATGATGCAGCTTGATGAATTTAATATACATTATCATCATTCCTTAATTTATGCTTTTTCTATTTAAGAACTATAGGACAAGAGAAACTATGTACTAGATTGTCATTCGTGATGGCCTCCTGTGTCAGCAAAGAGTTTCGAAAACGTGGTTATGCTTGAGATGGGGACCATAGGGTTTGTGGGGGTTAGACTATAGTCATTACCACTATATCTCTTAAAAGAAAACAAGTATATCTTGTTCGATATAGGTGCAAAAGGAGAGCTTAATGAATTTTGTTGCCGAGTGTGCTTTCATTTATTTTCGTATGTCTCAGTTGTTACAATCTTTAGTATGAGCATTTAGTAACTGATCTGCTTAAGAATAGTTACAGGGTTGATAGTAGCCAACACTTGAGTCTTTCTGTGGCTCTGTCTACATGTGAATTGAGATTTTGGTACTTGGATGAAGGCGTCATCTAGCTATTCGTTTTGTTCAAGCATCTATTTAGGTACTCGTTGCGCAATCTTACTGTGTGCGGTATTCGTATTGCAGTATAATGTCATTGAAGGTAGTTTCTGGTATATAAATTTTGGTAGGATAGATCTTTACATGAGTCTTGAAGAACAGGCCTGGTGATAAATTTGAAGGGCACCGGTGAAAGAGATGTTTTCGGGTCATGTATGAAAAGACAATGAGAGGAGGGAAATCTCTTGGCCTCAGAGGTTTAGATTGTAATCTGAAACCAGGAAAAAAGCTTTTAATTAGCTAGTTGTCCCCGGTGAAAGCTCAGTTTAAGGGGTTGAATGCGTGCATTGTTGAGTCAAAATATGCGTACTAATTTTTTTGGTTCTAAAATTTGGTAATATTTTTTTTTTTTCATTATTAGCTAAGAATTTGCTATTGTGGAAACAGTCTCTTTGTATAGCACAGGTAACATTACGTATGATAGACGTTCATTTTCTAACTTTCGCAAAGCGATGAGTATTGTTGGCGTGGGGTAGCTAAGAATTTTTGTTTGGATGATGTGATCTTATATTCTAATGAATTTTAATGGAATTAGTTATAAAATCTGAGGAATTTGATGGAGTTCTAGTTGATTTCTAGAGATTTTCCATGTGAATTTTGAGTAGAATTTTGTAAAATCTCAACGCGAAAGTGAGATATGTAAATACTTAAAATATACTACAAATGCGTCCAATTCCGTCAAAGTAAAAGACTCATAGTGGTAAAGTTTATTTTCCCTCCTTGGAAAGGGCGGTCGTTCATCAGGAAAGGAAAGTATATATTTCAGACTTTCGGCACTACAAACCGTAGAAATGAGCAGTGTTCGATTCCCCATTTCAGAACTACAAACCGTAGAAATGAGCAGTGTTCGATTCCCCATTTCAGAATGTCCAATTACTCTTGTATCCCTTCATTTGTTATAGCCGCCATCACGTACTAATTAAGCAGACAAATCCTGCGTCAACCTTTTCTTTTTATGTGTCTTAGCGTACATTGGCACCTCTTTCTGCAAAACCATCTTCCTTATATTCGTACTCGGAAGTTCGCGTGAGGAGAGAGACAAAGAAGATGGAAGATCGAAAAATGGAAGAGCAGGTTGCAATGGTGGGGAGGGCATTTGTGGATCATTCCATTTATTTGATACTGATAGAGCTTCCCCTCTCTACCCGTTACCAGCCTACCTCTATGCTGAGCTTTGAGGGGCAGAAGTTATTTGGCGCCGACGATATATCTTCCAAGCTTAAACAGCTGCCGTTTGATCAAAGCAAGCATTTGATCAGCACCATTGATTCCCAGCCATCGTCCCCAACCGGCGGCATTGTGGTTTTCGTCAGCGGTAGCCTCCAGTTACCGGGGGAAGAACACCTCCTGAGATTCAGCCAGGTAATTTATTTATTTAATTTTCTGCAGATAACATGGCGAAATACTAAAATGTGAACATATTTATTTAATTGTTGGGTGGTAAAGTATCAACACGTACATAAAATTAGTGTAGCGGAGATAAGAATGCTTGTTGGATGTGTGGGCACACGAGAAATGATAAGATTAGGAATGAGGATATCCGAGGTAAAGTAGGAGTAGCCGAAATTGAAGGAAAGATGAGAGAAAATCGGTTACGTATACGGTGGTTTGGACACATGAAATGAAGGCCTACTGATGCTCTGGTTAGAAAATGTGATTATGGGACAGAGGTTCAGGGCCGAAGGGGTAGAGAAAGACCTAGAAGGACTTTGGAAGAGACTCCAAGAAAAGACTTAGAGTACTTGGATCTAACGGAAGACGCGACACAAAACCAAGCGTAATGACGTTTTATGATTATATAGCCGACCCCACTTAATGGGAAAAAGACTTTGTTGTTGTTGTAGATGTTCCATTTGATCCCCACTCCAGAAGGAAGCTTCTTTGTGTAGAATGACATTTCGACTCAATTATGTTGGAAAACTAGAAACTCCGTCGTGTAAGTTTATCTTACATTGCCGGTCCCAAGCCCGGATAAAGGAGGAGGGGGAGGGCGTCAGGTAGTCGACAGCCGGCACTCCATGATTACGTCGAATCCTTATGAAAATGAATCCAGAACGAAATCGCGCTAAAGCTAGGGCGTCACCCGTAAGTGGCGCGCTGTGTGGCCCGAGCACAGTGATAAGTGAGCAAGGGTCGCTGTATCTCCATCGGCACCCGGATGCAGTGTTAAATGAGCAAGGGGGCTATAGAAACTTCTTTTCGAACGACTCCACTCAAAGTTGTTTGGGAGCATATGCTCCTATTAACTTTACACGGGACACACAAAAGAAGTACTTTGATCCTATTAGACGGGGAAGGGTGAAGAAGCTAGGACAGAAGGGTAGAGTTCAAGAGAGCAAAATGCGTTTAGGAACGTGGAATATAGGAACCTTGACGGGAAAATCTATGGAAGTAGTAGAAGTTATGGTGAGGAGAAGGATAAATATTATGTGCCTACAAGAAACTAAGTGGGTTGGTCGTAAGGCAAAGGATCTAGAAAACTCAGGGTTTAAACTATGGTATTCGGGCACAAATAGAACGAGAAACGGTGTTGGTATCATCGTGGACAAGACCTTGACACAAGATGTTGTAGATGTCAAGAGAGTAGGAGATAGAATCATGGCAATCAAGATTGTAATAGGACAAGAACTTATCAATGTGATTAGTGCGTACGCACCTCAAGTAGGGTTGGATACGAGTTCGAAGGAGAAATTTTGGGAAGACCCTGGAGACTTGGTGCAAGGAATTGCTCAGACGGAGAAGTTATTTATAGGAGGAGATTTAAATGGACACGTGGGTAGGGAGACAGGCAACTATGGAGGTTTTCATGGTGGCCATGGTTTTGGGGAGAGAAACGAGGATGGGGAAGCTATCTTGGATTTTGCAATGGCATATGATCTCTTCTTAGCCAACACCTTTTTTAAGAAGAGAGAAGAACATGTGATCACCTACAAGAGTGGGTCGTCAAAAACACAAATAGATTTTATTCTAATGAGGAAAGGGGATCGTATAACTTGTAAGGATTGTAAAGTTATACCAGGAGAGAACGTGGCTAATCAACATCGCTTGTTGGTGATGGATGTACATATCAAAAGAGTGAGAAAAAAGAACAAGACTTGGAAGTGCCCAAGGACTAGATGGTGGAATCTAAAAGAAAGAAAAACAAGCCATTTTCAAAGAGAGAAAGTAATCACCCAGTGTGTGTGGGATAGAGAGGGGGAAGCTAACCAAATGTGGGATTCCATGGCTAGTTGTATCCGAAAAGTAGCAAAAGAGGTATTAGGAGAGTCCAAGGGCTTTGCCCCACACCAAAAGGAATCTTGGTGGTGGAATGAGGAGGTACAAACAAAGGTGAAGGCTAAGAAGGAATGTTGTAAAGCCTTATACAAGGATAGGACCGATGAAAATGGTGAAAGGTATAGAAAAGCGAAGCAAGAAGCGAAGAAAGCTGTGAGAGAAGCTAAGTTAGCGGCTTATGACGATATGTATAAGCGACTAGATACCAAAGAAGGAGAGTTGGATATCTATAAACTAGCTAAAGCAAGGGAAAAGAAGACAATGGACCTAAACCAAGTGAGGTGCATCAAGGATGAGGATGGAAAGGTTCTTGCTACAGAGAACGCGGTTAAAGACAGATGGAAAGGTTATTTTCATAATCTTTTCAATGAAGGACATGAAATGAGTGCTTCTTTAGGGGAGTTGAGTAACTCAGAAGAGTGTAGAAACTACTCTTTTTATCGTAGAATCCGGAAGGAAGAAGTGGTTGTAGCTTTGAAGAAGATGAAGCATAGAAAAGCAGTAGGCCCAGACGATATACCAATCGAAGTGTGGAAAGTTTTGGGAGAGACAGGTATAACATGGCTCACTGACCTTTTCAATAGGATTTTGAAAACGAAGAAGATGCCAAATGAGTGGCGAACGAGCACTTTGGTGCCTATCTACAAGAATAAGGGCGATGTACAAAATTGCATGAACTATAGGGGTATTAAGCTAATGAGTCATACAATGAAGTTCTGGGAGAGAGTCATTGAGCATAGATTGAGGCAAGAGACACGGGTTTCGGACAACCAATTTGGGTTCATGCCAGGGCGCTCAACCATGGAGGCAATCTATCTCTTACGAAGATTGATGGAAAGATATAGAGATGGGAAAAATGATTTACACATGGTCTTTATAGATTTGGAAAAAGCGTATGATAGGGTCCCAAGAGACATTCTTTGGAGGATTTTAGATAAAAAAGGAGTACGAGTAGCATATATCCAAGCTATACAGGATATGTATGATGAAGGAGCAAAAGACTGCCGTAAGAACTCATGAAGGACAAACCGAAAGCTTTCCCATAACTGTAGGATTACATCAAGGCTCATCCTTAAGTCCTTACCTTTTTGCGTTGGTAATGGATGAGTTAACAGGACATATTCAAGATGATATTCCTTGGTGTATGCTTTTCGCAGACGATATAGTGTTGATAGATGAAACTCAGGAAGGGGTAAATGCAAAGCTTAACCTTTTTGGAGAGAAGTGTTGGAATCTAAAGGTCTTCGCCTAAGCCGATCAAAGACAGAATATATGGAGTGTAAGTTCAGTGCAAATGGAGGCCAAAACGAGTTAGGGGTGAGGATCGGAGATCAAGAAATACCAAAGAGCGACCGTTTTTCGTTACCTAGGATCTATCTTGCAAAAGAACGGAGAATTAGATGGAGATCTCAACCATAGAATACAAGCTGGATGGATGAAGTGGAAGAGTGCATCCGGCGTGTTGTGTGACCGCCGTATGCCACTGAAGCTCAAGGGAAAATTTATAGGACGACGACAATAAGGCCGGCGATGCTGTATGGCACAGAATGGGAAGAGCACGTACACAAAATGGGTGTAGCGGAGATGAGGATGCTTCGTTGGATGTGTGGGCACACGAGAAAGGATAAGATTAGGAATGAGGATATTCGGGGTAAAGTAGGAGTAGCCGAAATTGAAGGAAAGAAAGATGAGAGAAAATCGGTTACGGTGGTTTGGACATGTGCAAAGAAGGCCTACTGACGCTCCGATTAGAAGATGCGACTATGAGACAAAGGTTCAGGGCCGAAGGGGTAGAGGAAGACCTAGGAAAACTTTGGAAGAGACCCTAAGAAAAGACTTAGAGTACTTGGATCTAACGGGGGACATGACACAGGACAGAACACAATGGCGTTCTAAGATTCATATAGCCGATCCCACTCAGTGACTTGGATTTTCCAAGTCTCCAACCGAGAAGTTTTCCTCACTCAGGAAATTAAGGGAACACTACCTCAACCTACATGCTCCACTCACAAAGCTTCAACATACAAGCTTCAACAAAAGAAAATTCAAAGAACTTAGCGAAGAAGGCTTTGGTGTATTTAACACAATACGTTGAAATGAAGGAAAGCTTATTTATTGATATCCCCGATAAGTTACAAATATGTACATATACTTGAGTCAAAATAAACAAACAAGAGGGAGCCTTCACAAAGGTTGCTTAGGAAGTCTCAGCAGTCGGTAGAGCCCCAGAAAGAGAAGGCACCGGAGGGGGATCATTCGGAGCCTCAGTACTGGACAGAACCCTAGAAGGAGGAGGCATCAGAGGTTGATCATTTGGAGCTTCATTACGCGGTACAGCCCGAGAAGACGAAGACAATAAATGCCTTTGGAACAAACCCACAAATCTCTGATGATCAAGTAAAACCTGACCATCAGATTCCTTCATCTGGTCAAGCTTCATCTTCATGTTTGTAGCATAGTCATGTGCGAGCCGGTGCAACTGTTTATTCTCATGCTTGAGCCCTCTAATCTCCTGTTTGAGACTCATCACTTCAGCCGCCAATGATTCAACTTGGCGAGTTCGAGCAAATAGGCGTTGGGCCATATTAGACACAGAACCTGCACACTGAACACTGAGAGCCAGAGAATCCTTAACAGCCAACTCATCGAACCGTTTGGAAAGTAGTCTGTTATCTTTGGGAGTGAGAAGGTTTCTGGCCACTACCGCAGCGGTCATATCATTCTTCATCACGGAATCCCCAACGGTAAGAGGACCAATAGGGGAGACGAAGGATGGGCGCCATATGTTGTCTGGAGAAGGCGGGGCTGCCTCTTCAACAAGGTTCAAGTCAAAACGACGGTCGGAGGGGCCAGACATTTTCAAAGGTGTTGAAGAGAGAAGAGGTCGGACAAATCAAGATCTTAGAATTGCAAGAATGGAGCTTCTACTGGTGGATATTCAAGTGTGCTTTGGAACTTAATGTCAGCCCCTATAAAAATCTGCACTCGACGAAGCTTCAGAAATCGAAGAGCGCCTGCTCTCAGAAAATCGAAGAGGTGTTTGCTTTCTCAAAAGCTGGGCTGCTCAGAGACCACGAGGGTCGATCTCAGAAATCAAAAGCTGGGCTGGGCTGCTCAAAGACCACGAAGGCCGATCTCAAAAATCGAAGAGGCTTGCTTTCTCAAAAACTGGGCTGCTCAGAGACCACGAGGGCCGATCTCAGAAATCGAAGAGGCACCTACTTTTCCAGCCTTGTCAGCACCTGTCACACGCACACTCAGCTTTGCGAAAATTACGGGCATTATGTCGAAGATTTCTGGCGAAGTAGAAAGCAGATGAATCGTACTGTTCAATCACCCACTTCCCACACGCAACAGTAGCTCATGGGTACCACAGATAACTTTGCCAAAGTTCTCTGACAAAGTTGAGACACGTGAAGCTTGCAGCTCCCACTACATCGCTCTGACCAAGAAAAGGTAAAAGAAATAGCAAAGAAAACAACACTAACAAAGTTTAGAACACATAAATTTTGAAGGTCTAGCTACCATATTATTACCCACAAGGGTAAAGGAACAGTACCACTGCTGGATAATTGGAAAGTCCCGGTGTGTCAACCTCTGTGCTTCGTGGCAA